TATTTATGACATAATATGTTGTAAATTTGCGACAGCCCATTCTTGCTTGTCAACAAATTCAAAGATGATTAAAAGTGTTTGTAAATTCACAATTTTGAATTAAAATTGACACGCATCATTGAAAATTTTCCCGTTAGCCCGCGACTATTTTTCGCAGTGCCACGCCACTCACCGTACTCGTACAGCAGGTCGCAGCGCTGGCCTCGGCCGGCGTGAGCGTGCAGGTCGCTCAATGCAGCCTGCGAGCAAGTCGAGAGTAGTGTGAGTAGCAGAGGGGCGAGAGCAGAGAAGTTGGCAGCAGAAAAGTATGGTTTTCCTTCATGTACACTACGGCCACTTCTCATGTGAGATCTCTCAAACGCGGGTGAAAACAAAAACTTAGGCATTCACGATGACGTCGATAAATTTCTTATTTCTTGAACGCCGGACTCGGATTGCGTTTCTGAGTCAGTTATACGTTGAAAAGTTACACCAATGCGAATGATTTTTATCGCCAGGGCTTCCTAGATTCTTTTACTACTCCACTTCGTTCAACAAGCGAAGTGGATAAAAGTTAGACAAAATTTACGCCCGTAGTTACAACAATATTTTTTTGACAGTGGGTCTAAAATGTCGTAATTTGTGTGCGGTCTCCGAAACCCTTTGGTCCTATCGGCAGCGTCACATATGATTTCCAATTGATCACGCGACGCGGTGGAAGTGGCTATAAAATCATGGCGGCGCCATCGCTATTACGTTTCTCTCCCTTTCATATATTTTTATTATTATTTTTTCTTTTTTTCCTCTCTCTGTTTCCTTTTATCTGAACCATATAGCGCCGGTGGATGCTGAGCTATCAACTCCGCGCCCGGGACGTTTCACTGCACCGTCCGATTCACGATAGAAAACACTATGGTTGGAAGCCCTGGAAAGTTACCGGAAAATTTCCGAGAGCAAATGGAAAATTTACCTGACTTTGCAGCGTTAACTTTTCGTTAACTTTCGTCAATTTTCAGGATTTTTTCGGAAATTTTGGATATTTTCAACCCTAGGAAACGCGTCATTTACCGACCGCCCCCACAATATACCGCACCTCACGGCAGCAGCAGGCATTTTTCATATCGCGCCTCACACGCTCCAGCCTCTCTCTCTCGTGGGCGGTGCATTTTTACCATCGCTCTCGCAGTGGATCGATTAATTGTTAATTGATGTGGCCTCTCTCTCTCTCTCTCTCTCTCTCTCTCTCTCTCTCTCTCTCTCTCTCTCTCCCTCTCTCTCCGGTCCAGCCGGTCAGCATAGGGCGCCAGGGGCGGGCCGTAGGGGCAGCCGGTAATCTATTCATGGCTCTCCATGCATGTATGCATAGCGCGCGCACTGCGAACCACAGTGTGTTCCGTGCTGCATGCCCTTTTCCATGCTCCGTGTCAAAATTTCGTTTGCACGGCAAATCGTATCTAATTTTATTTATATTTACATATTTTTTTTTTAATTTTCAAAACTTAATTTTGAGGTTTTTTTCTTTAGTGTATATCTTTGTAATGTGTTACAAGGCATTGCTCACCTGCGCGTTGAGCTCGCTGTAGTGGAGCCAGCCGCCGGCGTCCCCCTGCTTGGGCGCCTCCTCCAGGGACCGCAGCCTAGACACGAGCTAATGGAAACAGATTCAAAAATGAACCCCTTATTTTGCAGTTTTTTGTGTTTTTTTTGTTTTGAAAAAAATCGAGATTTTGTGAAAAAAAATGTTTTTTTATTGTTTTGACATAAGCATTCGAGGCATACGACGAGCGCCCTAATGCGCGCCGAGCCGAACCGAGCCGAACAGAGCGGGGCCGTGCCGAGCCGTGCCGAGCCGTGCCTTCGGGTCGTCATTACTCTTGGCCAAGTGTCGCCATTTATTTGACAGCGCCACGGCGCGGCGGCCTCCACGGTCATGGCGGTGAAAAGCTATGGGGCGGTCCCGCGGCCGCGGAGGAGAACCTATATATATATATATATATATATTCGCGGGAGGGGGTAAAAAGGAAGCAGGGGAGGGGGGGGGGGGAGTTTAAAAAAAAACCGGCAAAAGTCACGTGGCTTGGTCCAGCGGCCCCGGCGATCGGGCTCACCTCTCGTTCAGTTCGATGTGTGTGTGTGTGAGTGCGTGTGTGTGGGCGTGCGTCTGTGGCGGCATGATCGATTTCATGGCAGAGCCGGATATTATTCAAAAGGGTGGATGGAGGGAGTAGGGGAAGGGGGTGGACGGCGCGACACTCGGCGAGCGCCGGCGCCACGTCAAGCCGACATCTGTAAATGGATTACCACTGTAAAGCACAGGGACTATCGACAGCCGCGTGTGCGTCACGGGCACGGGAGGTGCGCACGAGAGAGACC